AGGACACTTCAGTTGTCTCCATGTCTTGGCCACCGTGAATAATGCTGCAGTGAACATAAGGGTGCATATATCTTTACAGATAAATGTTTTCAGGTTTTTTGGGTAGATACCCAGAAGAGGGATTGTTGGGTTGTATGGTAATTCTATTCTTAATTTTTTTTTTTTTTAGCTGAGCCATCCTGCCACCTGTTGACAGCTCAGTGGCAGCTCAGCTCGGGCTGGACTCGAACCACTGTTGCTCAGAGCTCAAACCCTTAAGCGAGCTCTTAACCAACTGAGCCACTCAGCTAGCCCTCTTAATTTTTTAAGGAACCTCCATACTGTTTTCCATAGCGGCTTCACCAGTTTACATTCCCACCAATAATGTATGAGTGTTCCGTGTTCTCCACAATCTATCTCTCAACACTTGTTATTACTTGATTTGTTGATAATAGACATTCTAACAGGTGTGAGGTGGTATCTTATTGTGATTTTGATATGCATTTCCCTAATAGCTAGTGAAGTTGAGTATTTTTTCATCTGTTGGCCTTTTATATGTCATCTTGGGAGAAGTATCTGTTCAGGTCCCCTGTCCATTTTTTTTAATTGGATTGTTTGTTTTTGTTATTGTTGAGTTGTATGAGTTCTTTATATATTTTGGATATTACTAGCCCCTTATTGGAGGTGTTGTTTGCAGATAATTTTCTCCCATTTGGTTGGTTGCCTCTTTGTTTTGTTGATGGTTTCTTTTGCTGTGCAGAAGCTTTTCAGTTTGATATAGCCCTATTAATTTACTTTTGCTTTTACTTCCCTTGCCTTTGAGGTCAAATTCATAAAATCCTCTCNGTTTAACAAAGGTCTTAAATTTTGCATGTTATGTATAAAATTTCTTGGGTTTTCTTTCAGCACTGTGTTCGTGTAAATTGGGAAAAAGATTCTATCCTGCTTTAAAGTCATGTGACACATTTTTCTAAGATTGTTACTTCACAAATAAAAACAAGAAATAGGAATCTCTGATGCTCTTACCCGTTTTAAGTTATCTGAATGTTTCTTATTCATTAACATGATATAAATGAGCTGTAATTTTCAAGTGGAAAATTGGGGTTACTTAAATTTATTGAAGGGAAACATCTATTTTAATAGAGTGAAGAGGAAATTGTACTAAAAATTGATGCTTCACTCTTACATAAGAGTTTGCTGAAATTATCCACCACATGAAGAAATGGTGATAAGAACTCGCAGGCAGAATTCTAGGAGGAAAGTTATTGATACCATTACGAAATCAAAAACTTTAAAAGCTCATAGTTTCCAGTTAATGGCCAGTTAATACGAGGGGTCCTGTCTTGAATCTATTTGCATAGCAAGTGCACCATTTTTACTTAGATGAAATGTTTCTTTGGAGTGGGATGGGGGAAGAAGGGTGATGGAAAATTGAGGGGAATAAAGATACCCTTTAACACTGCTACTGGCCTAGAGTCCATTTGCCACCCGATCCCTTTTAGGGTCCCTGAGAATTCTGAGGAGCCTGTACAGTTTTGAGGAAACATAGTTTAAAACGTATTTTCACCTTTTAACCACCCTTTCATCAACCCTTATATAGTCAGAAAGTGTTTGGGGGTTCTTAATTTGTATATTCCATCTTTAGTCTTCTAAAAAATGGCGGCTGAGAACCTTAACCCTACTAATCAAAGTTTATTAATTGTTCATTCAAGTCATTTTTCTACATGATAGTTGGGGAGGTCAGTCATTCCTTCTCTGTTTTCCCATAGTCCTTTGTTCATGCTTTATTTTATAGCATTTCATGTTTTACCACATTGAATTATAATTTTTAAAAAAACTTTATTCTTCTCATTAAACTTTTAGTTTGTGGAGGTCTGGGATCATATTTTATGCATCCCAATATCTTCTAAACCCCTTTTTATAAGGCTTGGGCTCCATTGCTGTGGCAGCTTTCTTGACTGATGTGCACTATAGGTGATAAGTTAAGGACCCATTTTAGTTTTATTGTAAATGTTTTTAAGCCAAGGGCCACCAGAGCCAATTCTGAGCTTACCCTCTGCCTGTTTTGATTCTGACCTTTATTTCCACTCTGTCACAGAAAGTGACACAATAATGTCCTAGGTACAGATCTCTGTGTTAATATTCCAGAGCCGTGACACCAGTTTCTCATTCTGAAGGTAGTTAATTGTTCTGTAGTGTAATGGAAAGGACACAGTGTAAGGCAATTAAGTACAAAAAACTATGGAGCCAAACTTTTAGCATTCAAATGTTGGTTCTCCCACTTATTAGCTCTGTGACCTTGGCCAAGTTACTCATCTGTAAAGTGGGGGTAACTTTTGCATATGGCACGTATGTGGGTTGTAGGAATACATACACAGTCATCCTAGAACAGTATCTGGCACAAAATAAGCTACTGTGTCACCGTTAGCTTTTATTGGTATTGTTACTCCCCACAGTTGAGACCCAGGACATAAGGCTTATGTTAGAAACTAAAATCACATGTTAGTCTGGTTATAGAATTAGGTATATAGACTGTTTGCTTTTACAGAAGAAAATGGAAAACGGAAGGGAGANCAGTTTCTCCCTTTGGTCAGTTTCTCCCTTTGAGCATATATATTGATAAGTGTTATGTCTTGTTGTATTGTTCCCTTTATCATTATGAAATGTTCCCTTTTCTATCTTGAAGTCTATTTTGTCAGATATAAGTATGGTTACACCTGCTTTTCTATGAATGCCATTTGCTTGGAGTACCGTTTTCCACCCTTTCACTTTAAGTCTATATTTGTCCTTGCAGCTGAGATGTGTCTCTTGAAGGCAGCATATGGTTGGGTTTTGTTTTTTAATCCAATCTGCTACTCTTGTGTCTTTTTATGGTGAGTTCAGTCCATTTAGTATACATTTAGGGTGATTATTGATATATGAGGATTTCCTATAACCATTTTATCTTTTGTTTTCTGGTAGCTCAGTGTCTCCATTGTTTCTTTACCTTTGTGTTTCTGTTATTTTAGTTTGGTGGTTTCTATAATTTTTCCCCCCTGTTTCCTCTTTTTTATGTTATGTGTCTCAGTTCTGGATTTTTTATTTATTTATTTTTTAGTGGTTACCATTAAGTTTATGTAAAAAAAGTTTCATATATCCATTGTCCTTTTTCTTCAGAATGCATCTTATCTCCATTCCCCTTTGCAACTTCAGACTTTACCCCCTCCACTTTTATGTGTTTGTTGTCAGAATTATCCTCATTCATGCAGTGAGTTCATTTCCGAGTTGTGGTAGCTAATTGTCTTCTCTTTTTCTTTTTTTATGTTTTTATTTCCTTTACCCTTTATGTTATATTTAAGTGGATAGGGCCTTATTCTGAGTAGGGGTTGCCATTTCCTGCTTCTGTCTGTTAGTCATCTTACTCATAGTTTTGCATCTTTTTGTCTTTTTGTTTCAGGTAGAATAAACCCCTTCAGTATTTTCTGTAATGCAGGCCGAGTGGTGGAAAATTCCCTCAGCTTCTGTATATCTGGAAAGATCTTTATCACTCCTTCATATCTAAAAGATAACTTTGCTGGATATATTATTCTTGGCTGATGATTTCTCTCTTTCAATAGTTTGAATATTTGATTTCACTCCCTAGCTTGTAGAGTTTGTGCTAAAAATCTGCTGATAATCTAATAGGCTTTTCTTTGTAAGTTATCATTTTTCCCCCCTTGGCTGCCTTGAGAATTCTTTTTTTGTCATTAATTTTTGATAGTTTTAATATAATGTGCCTTGGAGAAGGCCTTCTAGGATTGAGATAATTAGGTGCTCTGTTTGTTTGCTTCTTGGATTTGAGGATCCAGTTCTTTGCATAGGTTTGGGAAGTTCTTGTCAACTATTTATTTGAATAGGCTCTCTGTCCTTTTCTCCCTCTCGTCTTCTTCTGGTATACCCATTATTCTTATATTGCTCTTTCTGACAGAGTCAGATAGTTATTGTAGAATTCTTTCATTTCTTTTAACTCTCAAGTCTCTCTCTTCTCTCATCTGTGTCATTTCCATATTTCTATCTTTGATATCACTAGTTCTTTTCTCCATTTGGTCAGCTCTATTTCCTAAGCTTGCTATTTTATTCTTCATCTCTTTTATTAAGTCATCATCTCCTGAATTCTTAATTTTTTTTTAAATTTCAGTGCCTTTGGTAAAGGATTTAATTTGTTCATTGATTTTATTTCAGAGTTCATTAAACTGCCTATCTGAGTTTTCATGTACCTTGTTGAATTTTTCCAAAACTGTAATCTTGAATTCTTTGTCATTTAAGTCACTTAGTTCCATGTCTTTAAGTTTATTTTCTGGACTGTAGATATGGGCTTTTGCAGAAGTTGCAATTTAATCCTTTCAGGCAATAGTAACATCTAAGTTCACTACTTCCACATTACCTGTTTGGGAAGAATCTTTTTTCTAAATGTAATCTTAATCTTGTGCTTTTTGAGAATACTGAGGGGCAGAGCCTATTGAATACTTGATTTAGAAAAGCGTTTCCATAACAGTTTGCATCTTTTTTCTTTTATTTTAGATCTCAACCTCCTTTCCTCTCTCCCTTCTGCCTTCTTTCCTTTCTTCTTGCCACCTAAAAATATTTTCTTTATTTTTCTTTGTAGTAGAATTTGAAGTTTTATGACAGTTTACTTTCTTACGTTTTTGGAAACTTTAATTTTGTTCATCTAGATTTGATTTTCCTGATTGCATTCAAGTCTGGCATTTATATTTCCACAGTGAACATAGCTAACACCTTAGAATCAGCTAGGGGAATGGCTTTTAGGTGGCTCCAGGAGGCAGTAGTGGAATGACCTTACCTTGCTAGTGGGTACTCATTCCACTGCTATGATGACCTGAGGGTCCTCTTGTCTTTCTGATACCATCTTGAAACTGTTAGTAGGGCCTTGGAAATGGTGAGGGTCAAACCTTTAGTATTCCTTAGCAAAGTAGTATTTTATAACTGGTTTAAATACACACTGCTTTAATCTATGTGTCTTTTTTCTATATTTTCCCCCTACAGTTAACAGAGAAGAAAGGAAAAGAAGCAAATATTGGTTTTGGTGGGCCAGTTGTTAGTTCTCTCTATCACGAAGAAATCATCAGGTAATTTTCTCTTCTGGACTTTGATAAGAGGGATATTTATACATATGTATATATGTATGTATATATATGTGCATATATGTGTATGTTTGTGTATCTATATATTTTTAATCCTGAACACTTCCATTTGTGGAGGATTTTTTCTTAACATGAAACTGATTTGGTGGTATCTCTAGTAAGATAATAAATGGCAGAAAAGAGTTGTATAATCTTTGAAATCAATATGTCTGAATCAGTGCCAGATAGTAACCCTTCCACCATATAAGTAGTTGGTAGAGCAAGGTTTTATCTCAGGTAGTCTAAAGCTATGGATTTTTATTGCTGTTAGCTTTCTTCAAAATACCATTACTTCTTTTTAAAGATTTGAATTTTTACAGTTTATTCTAGCTACAAATTAAAATTTATTTTAGAATGTAAAATGGTACACTAAGGAAAAGATTGTGGAGGTTCCTCAAAAAATTTAACAAAGAATTACTGTGGGATCCAGTAATTCTACTTCTAGTTCTATATCCCAAAAAAGAAAAGCAGAATCTCAAAGACATATTTGCAGACCCATGTTCATAGCAACACTAGTTATAATAGCCAAGAGGTGAAAGCCACCNGGCTTTGTTCTTTTTTCTCAGGTTTACTTTGGCTGTTCCGGTCTTTTGTGATTCCATACAAATCTGATGATTTTTTTGTTCTGTTTCTTTGAAAAATGCTATTGGGATTTTGATGGGGATTACATTAAATCTGTACATTGCTCTGGGTACTATGGCCATTTTAACTATGTTGATTCTTCCAACCCATGAACATGGACTATCTTTCCATTTCTTTGTGTCTTCTTCAGTTTATTTTAATAATGTCTTACAGTTGTCACAATGTAAAGGCCCTTCACATCCTTTGTTATGTTATTCCTAGGTATTTTATTCTTTTTGTTGCAATTGCAAAAGGAATTGTGGGGTTTTTTTCATTCTTTTTTGAAATTTCATTGTTAGTATATAGGAACACAGTGGATTTTTGTACATTGATTTTGTATCCTGCAACTTTACTGTATTTGTTTCTAATAGTTTTTTGGTGGAGTCTTTAGGGTTTTCTATATAAAGAATGATGTCATCTGCAAAAGTGACAATTTGACTCTTTCATTCCCAATTTGGATGCTTTTTATTTCTTTCTCTTGCTTGATTGCTTTGGCTAGGACTTCCAGTACTATGCTGAATAACAGTGATGAGAGGGGGCATCGCTGTATTGTTTCTTATCATAGAGGGAAAGCTTTCAGTTTTTCACCACTGAGTATAATGTTAGCTGAGGGCTTGTTGTATATGGCCTTTATTATATTGAGGTACTTTCCTTCTATACCCATTTTACTAAATGTTTTAATCATAGATATTGTCTGATGCTTTTTCTGCATCTATTGATATGATCATATGATTTTTATCCTTTACTTTGTGTATGTGGTGTATCATATTGGTTGATTTGCATATGTTGAACCATCCTTGCACCCCTGCAATGAACCCTACTTGATCGTCATGTATAATCTTTTTAATATATTGTTGTATTTGATTTGCTAGTATTTTGTTTAGGATTTTGCATTTGTATCATTGGAGATATTGGTCTGTAGTTTTCTTTTTCATGTGTTATTCTTACCAGGTTTTTGTATCAGGGTATTGTTGACCTCATAAAATGAGTTAGGAAGTATTGCCTCTTCTTCAATTTTTTGGAAGAGTTTGAAGGAGGATAGGTATTAAATCATCTTTGAATGTTTGGTAGAATTCACTAATGAAGCCATCTGATCCTAGACTTTTGCTTTTGGGAGGTTTTGGATGATT